GCTGTAGTCCACGAAAGCTTATGCTCTAATAAATTTGTTAGTCTCTAAGGTGCCACAAGTCCTCCTGTTCTTCTTGTTTCAGGTAGTCTGTCAAAATTCGCACCCTCCACCCTAAATTCTGATAAAGAAATTCTTGTGGGAGGGCTGCTACTTACACAAACAATTTCTTGTCCTTTATAAACAGCTCGATCGCTGATACGCTGGAAAAGCACTGGTTTGAGGTTACGAAAAACAAGGATCCAACCCTGGAATACAAATCAAAATAGTTGAAGACCAAGGCACAGGCCAAAATCTCCAATACCAGAAACCTTATCCCGGATCATAGCAGCTAGAGATGCCAAAGGCCTATTATATCATCAAGGCATTTCCCTGCCAATACAGTACAGTTCCCTGACACAGGAGTATCAGAGAGACAAGGTGGGTATGGTAATACATGTTATTGGACCAACATTGCATACAGGAGGTATCATATACTTAACTGATACCTGCCTCTTCTTGTCTCCTTCATATTCCATGTGGGAATACTCCTTGGGGTGATGGGACAGCTGCTGTTTCAGGAACTACAGTAATGCCTGACCTCGGGCACCAAAAGTTAGGATGTCAAACCCTGTTCACCCCTCCTGGATCTGAATGTAGCCCAGGGACCCGACGCCTCCCCGCTGCTGAAATGTGGCAGAGATTGACCTGAAATAAATGGGACCCTACTTCAAGCCTTACCTATTCTGAATGCCACTTTGGTCTAGTTTTACTCTGAAAAAGATGGCTCCCACAATCAGGGCTAGGAGGGTGGTCACTGCGATCTGGAGGTGCAAAGAAAAAGGAATTGTGCAAAGGGAAGAACAGGGAGGAGTCACTGGATAGAACACAGGTCATTAGAGCCACGTACAGGGCCCAAAATTTACATTTGTCTCTGATATTTTGGGCCAGTGTTTGGGTACAAACAAAGATACTGGGCCAAATTCTCATCAGTTACCCTCCAGACAAGCCTAAAAGCCTTGGCCACACTCCTCCCCAAAGAAACAGAATCACGTGCTCCAAAGTAACAGCCCATCATCAATAACCCTAAACAGGGCAGAGAATTAACAGCACACTCAAACTTCAAGGCACTGTCTATATCCCCAGTGGGATTGAGAACTGATCATTTCCCAGACAGCCATCACTGTACTTGCACAAAACTAAGGCTGGGATCTTTAATGGTGCCTAAGTGGGTTGGGTGCCCATTGTCTATGAAGGGTGCCTAGTTCCCTTAGGGGCCTGGAAAATTCCAGCCCTATTTTGGCAGGTGCTTTATAAATATCGATAGACGTAATGGGATTTGGAGTCCTCTGCCTCTGCCTCTACCTCACTGACTGGACTCTAGTTCTGGTCAGCAAGGAGCAAAAGTCATTCAGTGGCCCATGTGAAATTCCGTTTCTTAATGGACCCGTGGCCTAGAGATGTCTATGGGGTCAAGGAGTGTTCTGAGAAGAACTCAGCCCACTGTCTCTCTCTGCTGGATCCTGCTTGCTGCTCATTTGTTTAGGGTTAGATCGTGCTTTTAGTCACAGCCCCCATCGTTCAGGGCTGTGTAATCTGTATGGGGCAAAGACATTGTGCTTTGGAGACACCCCAAGGAGTCCCAGTTCCTCCCCTGCTTCCGCCTTGCTACGGAGGCACTGTAATTGACTGCTGGCATTTACCAGCCATTCAGCTCAGCCAGCAGGTCTGCTGCAATGTCTACTAAAGACCTGGAGTTTTACATAGGTCACCAGCCAGCCATCAGGCAGTCATGATTTCTTGCCCCTGCTGACCAGGGCTGGATTCAAACCACTGATCTAGCAGGGACAGCGATACCACAACAAGGAGCCTGATATGACCACTGCAGAGTGAGACTGGAGTGGTCCTACTCAGCAGCAATGTCTCACCTGTGCCACAGACGCCTGGGGGTTCCTGATGAGGTTTTTGATGGCACGGATGGACACCCAGTAGAGCTGGGTGAAGAATCCATTTGCATATGTGACCTTGTTCATGCTCCTCAACTTCCCCTGCTCATTCTGCTGGCTGAGCTCCACTTTCTTCAGCTCTTCTCTCATGTCCCGATACTGGCTGGAGTTCAGGTACTGCTCGTGCAGAGTTTCCACCACGCTTTTGTCCACATTCTGCTCTTCATCACTGATTACCCCTAGAGTAAAGGGCCCAAGACAGGACTCAGCATGATTGATCCAGTCCCCCATCTTAAACCCGGCACCGTTGGCTCAGTGGGATCTCACTAATGCAACCCCTGATCATGAGGAACCCATGAAATCTTTAGCTGACCAGGATTTGGGATCAAGGTGGGAGCTTCCCATTGAGTTTGCTCCAGGTTCCTTATTCATGGAGCCCACTAAAGAGACTGCTGGCCGGCATTGCAGACCAGGGCCCAGGCCTTCAAAGGGATTTATGTAATGAATAAACTCTCAATGTAATGAATCAGTAGGCGTTAGGAGCCTAAATGCCTTTGAGGATCTGGACCCAAGTGACAGCACTCTAGCTAGCCCAGCTGCTTTAAAGGTGGCTGGAACCTTCTTCAATGGGTGGAGGAGCCCGAGTGTGCACCCTCTACCCCGAGATTCTATACAATTGGGTCTTTGTTGCGTGGCCATACAACAGACCTGTTGTACTACACAGTGCTGCACACTGCACATGCATACACGGCTACAGAAAAAGGCAGTGTTTGATCATAAAATCAACCCTGGCTGGTTTGTGTATGTTGCTTCCTTGGAGGACAAGCACTGTTTTCTAGTGGTTAGAGCATAGGACTAGGAGTCAGGACATCTGGGTCCTGCTCCCAGCTCTCTGGCTGTCTCAGGGTTTTACACTGCTGCCCATCACTGTACTATCTGAGCGCCTGCCACGTAAAACCAACAGCAATTACCAACATCCCTAATGAATTTCAGGGAGTCTGTGGCACTGCTCCCTTTTCAGGGTCAGAACTCTGCTTGGGCTTGAGTTTTAGTTTGTCTCTGCTACCAGTTACCTGGGTGACCATGGGCAAGTCACTTCATCTAACTCCATGCCTCAATTTTTTCCCATTGTAAAAGTGGGTTGATAGCACAAAGTCACCTTTTCAAAGCATTTTGAGAGCCTGAAGGCTCCTGCTGAAAGGTGCTATATGTGAGGGCAAAGTACGAGTAGGAAAATACAACAAAATGCCCACTCACTAGGAGAAAACAAAACAAAAATCTACCCTCACTGCCTGCAACTTCCCCTGCAATCTGGCCAAGGCCTGCTGTCTCATTCACTGGCTCACCTCCTCCAGTCCCTCCATTGTCCAGGCTTCTCTGATCACCTCTGCTTGCCGCTACGGCGGTGGAGTCACCGTTTATCACGTCAAGGAAGAAGTCAGCTGGGTTGTTGAAGGGCTCGCATTGATACCCTGTAACGATAGCAAGCAGAACACATTCATGTTTTAGACAGAACACTGCATGGTAAGGACCAGTTATAAGAACACTCCACCCCCCCCCATCCTCTTTCACACAAGCCTCTGGGGTGCTTTGGAAGCACTAACCATAGCACCGCTGCTGAGAGGGAGGGTTACCCCTTGTTTTTCAGGTGGGGAAAATGAGGCATACCCATAGGTTAAGTCCACAATTTTGTCAAGTCTGCATTGGTTTTGGGTGCTTAACTAGAGACTCCTTTGGACTAACTATACCTGCAGCTCCCTCTGCCTTGAACTGAGCTGTGGGGGCTCGGCCTTTCTGAAAACCAAGCTCAGTGTCTCCTTTTGGGCACCCAACGCTCTGCAGGGCTAGACTGTCATGGTGCCTACTTGGCCCGCGGGGCAATAAGGCCCCTCCATGTCGTTTCTGCTCTGCTGGGGACTCTGGCTACGGGTGGGGAGAGCAGGGCTGCTCGGCCAGCGGTGCCTGTGGCAAGTGACTGGGTGGGTGAGGAGGGGACTGAGGGGCTGAGGAGACACAGTAATACTGGTCCTCCATCCCCCGCCACTCACTGGCCAGAGGGGAGTAAGCTGTGCACCCACACAATGAAGTACCCTCCCGAACAAGGGGGAAGGAAGAGCGACTGGGCAGAATGTAAGGTTACAGCACAGTGACAGAGAAAGGAATAGAACCCAGGAGTCCACACCACACTCTCCATTATTCACAGAAGCAGGGTTCCCACTGTGTAGTCATTACCCTGCTAACACAAGTGTAGGTGTAACACTGACAGACCCCGGTCGTCGGCAGGTGGGAATCGAACCTGGGACCTCTGGAGCTAAATACATGAGCCTCTACCGCATGAGCTAAAAGCCACGTGGCCCTTAGCTAAGGCTGTAGAGCAGACTCATTAATCTCTCTCTCTAAGGGTACGTCTATACTTACCGCCGAACCCGGAGGTAAGCAATCGATCTTCTGGGATCGATTTATCGCATCTTGTCTAGACGTGATAAATCGATCCTGGAAGTGCTCGCCATCGACGCCGGTACTCCTGCTCCGCGAGAGGAGTACGCGGAGTCGACGGGGGAGCCTGCCTGCCGTGTGTGGACCCGCGGTAAGTACTTTGTAGTTCGAACTAAGGTACTTCGACTTCAGTTGCGTATCTTAGTTCGAACTGGGGGGTTAGTGTGGACCAGCCCTAAGTGATCTTGGTGCCACTAGATGGGACAGAACACCACACCCAGGAGGTGCGTGGGTTACATAGGCACCAACCACAGTGCTTTTCACCCTTTGTAAGAAATACCCTCTTGCACATGATCTTCCCTGCCAGTCTCCAGGGCTGGCGCTTCCATTTAGGCGACCTAGGCGGTTGCCTAGGGCACCAGGATTTGGGAGGGTGGCAATTCGGCGGCGGGGGGGGGTCCTTCCATGCTCCGGGTCTTCGGCGGCAATTCTGCGGCAGGTCCTTCACTCGCTCCGGGACCCGCTGCCGAAGTGCCCCGAAGACCGGGAGCGCGGAAGGACCCCCCCGCCATAGAATTGCCGACGACAACCGGGAGTGTGGAAGGACCCCCGCCTAGGGCGCCAAAAACCCTGGCGCCGCTCCTGCCAGTCTCCCCACCTTCTCAGCAACCTTAAGACCTGTGGGCCCTGCACCCAGATCCCCGGTGGTCCACAGACCTCAGCATGTGACCCACTGAGATAACCCTGCCCGGGATGCATATAGCCACCTAACTGTTGTGACCTTGTCGTTTGTTTTACTGAGCTTCTAATTGTCTGGGAGCCTGCTGTCAGCCGTCATTTTGTGAGGCAGAGTGGATACAATGAGCCCTGAAGGGGGGACATACACTGAGCTCTCATGGTGACCTTACTTTTGTTCTTTTTTGCTTTTTTTAATCTACATAAAACTCATTCAGATTGTAAACATGAGGCTGCTTTTTGTGTCTGGAAAATGCAGCAATGGACTAAACGTAGCAGGAGCTGATCCATCATTATTAAGAATTAGGCACTAAGCAATTAAAATAATTTGTTACCTTATTTCTTGCCATGTTTTGAGACGCAAGCACTAAAATATAATAGGGATTAGCATTATTGCATTTGCAGTGCAGACTTACCGATAGAACTAAAATATTTCAGGGCTTGCTTAGCCAGACCATGATACAGCACCTTTCCCAAAGCCAACAACGTTAGGCTGTCAAAGAGCTTGAAGATGGAATAGCGGGGCTGGTGGATAGAGAAAATGATGGTCCGACCTCTTCTCGAAAGCCTAGGATGAGAGCAAAGAGTCCAAACCTCAGCTGTGCCCATTGTTTGCCAGAAGCTGGGAATGGGCAACAGGGGATGGATCACTTGATGGTTACCTGCTCTGTTCATTCCCTCTGAAGCAACCTGGCATTGGCCACTGTTGGACGACAGAATACTAGGGTAGATGGACCTTTGTTCTGACCCAGTATGGCCGTTCTTATATACATAGTTCAGAAGACAGGGCAAGAGGGTCTGGTCATTCAAGGATATTTTTCTTAGCTACTGTTTTAGCCTACTCTACCCAGACCACTATTACCTAGTTTTCCTTTGAACTATGTTTGCTGGAAGCCCTTTCACTTGTGGTATGTCTTCACTACTGGCTGGATCGGCGGACAGTGATCGCTCCAGTGGGGATTGATTTATCGTGTCTAGTCTAGATGCGATAAATCAATCCCCGAGCGCTCTCCCGTCGGCTCCTGTACTCCAGCGCTGAGAGAGGCGCAGGCAGAGTCGATGGAGGAGCGGCAGCAGTCGACTCAGTGAAGACACCACGGTAAGTCAATCTAAGTACGTCGACTTCAGCTATGTTATTCACGTAGCTGAAGTTGCGTAACTTAGATCGATCCCCGCTCCAGTGTAGACCAGGCCTAAGTGAATGTAGTGTTGAAGAAAGTGCCCAACTGACTGCCCTGAAGGCTTCTGCCCCCAGAACAGATACAGCATGGGCAGCAGCTGGGAAAGCTTCCCCTACAATGCCCAGCCAACAAGCTGCAAGCCCAAGAGGGAGGGAGCCATCTCTGGTGGAACGAGAGATTCAGCAGCCTTTCCGGAGTGGTTGTTATGGACAATTTGGCCCAATCTACACCCAGCAGTCAGTCCGTCTCCAGCTTCAGTTACGAGAGACCAAAGGAAACCTGTTATCAGCCATGATCCATTTTCCTAATGTAGGGAGGAGCTCTGGGCAAAACGTTTTGTACAAAACTTTTTTTGGCCCAAAACTGCAGATTTGGCGACACCAAAACATTTCATGTCCATTTCACTAAACCGTTTTGGCCCCAAAGACCTAATATATATATATTTTTAAATTGGAATTCTTTGACATTTGTGAAACAAAATGTTTCGATTTTTTGGTTTGAAGCATCTCTTTTGTTTCAAAATTTCCTTTTGTTTTATTAAAACACAAACTGGTCAAAACTGAAATTAAACTTTTTGATTTTGTCAAGACAAAGTGGCTCATTCAACCCAAGAGGATTTGGAATTTTTTGTTTTCCATTTGCTGAAAATTTTTGAAAAGTTTCATTTTTGGTTCAACCCAAACCAAAATTTTGTTATTGTTACTTCTTGGAATTGCCAGCAAAACTGAAAAATCCACCATCGGCCAGCTCTAGTCGCTGTGAGTGACAGCCAAGAAGTGACTAGACCATGAGGACTGAGCTCTCAAATCCTTCCCACTACAGAGGTGACCTCTCCAGGACAGAGTTGGGGTGCCCTGGTTGCAGTGGGAAGCTGGCAGCGGGACTGTCCATACTGTGGCTGTTCTTCAGGGCTCTGAGCTGAAGCCCAGTGAAGTCAATGGGCTTTGGATCAGGCCCCGAGAAAGAGACTCCCAGGCCAGCCTCTTTCACCAGCACTAAGACCAGTTAGCCATTGGTTTAGATGAGCACAGAAGCATTGGTGTTAGATAATAAACCCCTGCAGCTCCTACCTCTTCAGGAGGATGAGCACCGCGTTGGCTGTGCTAGCATCCAGGCCGGTGGTGGGTTCGTCCAGGAATAGGACCGGGGGCTCCGTGATGAGCTCCATGCCGATGTTGGTTCTCTTCCGCTCCCCGCCTGACACCCCTCGGATTAGTTCTGTTCCTACCTAGAGCAAAGATTTTTGTGTTTGGTACCTGGCTTTGCTGTGGGGCGCCGGGCTTGCCCTGGCAAACAGTCCCATTAACACCCAGGGGACGAGCCGTGTCTGCAAGTGCTAGGCTGAGCTGTGCTTGCTGGATCCTGCCCTCAGGGGACACCACAGGGGCAGTGTGGAGATCATGCACAAGAGCAAATATTTCAAACATAAATTGTGCTGCTGGCTAAAGGCAACCTGATGGGGCAAGGATGAATTCACCCCATAGCCTTTTCCACTGTGCGGGTGAGTGCATAAGGGCCTGAGTAGACCAGAGGGGACAATGACGACACCTCAGCTGAGATTGCCACCGTGGGCCCTTCTGACCCCTCTTGAGTTTTAGCATCGTGACCTTGACGTCCTCACATCGTACCACAAAGCCAGGAAGTGGCTGGCAAAGGAGAAGAGCCCTGTGATCTGGGGGGCTGTAGGCAGAGTTCTTCCCCTGTTCCTATATAGCACATGCACACTGGACATGGTCCAAGCTGCGCCACTTCCTGGACCACAACAAAACCTAAAACTGCCTTCAGGGCTCAGCTCAACTGTCTTCCCTGCAGCATCCCTCCTACCCTATTTTTTTCTGCCTCAGAGAGGCACACAAACTCTTTCATACCCCTGGTTTGGAGCTAATGAGATGCAGCTGAACCAACATCAGAGTGAGCCAGCAAAAGTAACTCTACATTTCTGTGCTGGGTGTAGCCCCTGAGCTCAGGGCAGCTCAGCAGAAAAGCCCTGCATTCCTAGCATAGTACAGTGCCCATCCCCACGATATGGGCGAGAAGTTAGGATTCTGAAGCAGGTTCTCCCCCTGCCCCCTCAGCGCCCACAGGTACTCACCTTAGCATCAGCTACTTTGCTGAGCCCCAGCTCACTGATTATCTGGGTGACCCGCTCTTCTTTTTCTTTAAAGCTGATGGAGCTGGGGAGGCGCAGGGCTGCAGAGAAGAGTAGATTCTCCCTCACCGTCAGTGTGCCCATAACCACGTCATCCTGAAAACAATGCAAATTCACTGCTGAAAAGCCAAGCACATTTCAGCTCAGTCTTAGGCACTTTGTTATTTGCCTTTCCGTAGCAGCGAGTGACCCCAGCTGGGATCAAGGCCCATTGTGCCAGGAGCTGTACGTACATACAGTGAGGGTCAGCCCCTGCCCCAGACAGCTTGCAATCTAAATAGACAAGGCACACAAAGGGCTACAGAGACGGGGAAGTGACTTGCCAAGGTCACACAGCAGGTCAGGAAACAGAACCCAGGTCTCTTGTCCCCTAGCCCAATGCCCTATCCACTGGACAACACTGCTTCCCACAAAGGCTGCTGTAGTGCTGGAAATGCAGGCTATGGAGCTTTGCACTGGGAGGTCATTTGTCATGTAAATCACTGTGGGCTCGACTTCTAGAAGTGCTGAGCACTGAGAACTCCAGCTGAAGTTGCAAGTGCTCAGCCTCCATAGGTTGAATGGCAGCCACTCGGAGGAGCCAAGGCCCCCACTATGAGATGGAGCCGGCTACACACTTTTAACACCTATTGGCTCCAGCTGCAAGTCAAAACAGGAGCAGAGAGTTCTCACCCCCGCCCAGCTGATATTCAACCCCACAAAGCACCAAAACTGTGGGTGGAATCCTGGCCCCAATGACATAAATGGCGGGGGGTTACGCTGACTTCAGTGGGATCAGGATTTCATCCTGTGCTTCCATCCGACATGCTTCTGTAACATCTGGTCAGGAAGCACCACTCCCAGTGCTCTCAAAACGCAACTGTTCAACACAGTCCCAGGCACTTCCATCAGATTAAATCTGTCCAATTTGGAAATATCTGTGCAGCTTCATAGCATTGAAATTACTATTTAAGGCTTGCAAGCCAGACTTTCAGCTGATGGAAATCAGCAGAGTTCCATAGACAATGCTTAGGTACATCAGCCAAGGTGCTGACTCTGTGGATAATTAATATGGTTCCAAGGCAGGAAAGGAGCAGATTTCTTTAACCTGCTGAGGCCCTTCATCCACCTACAAAGCAGAAAAAAGTGGGGGCACAGCCCAATATTTTCCCCCACATGCAGGTCATTTTGCATTTTGCTTTGGTTGCTTTATAGATAGCTGGTGGGTTGGAAACTGGAAAGCAAGGATTCCTAAACTGGGAATTCTTACAGGAAAAATCAAAATCCTTCACACTTTCTAAGAGCTATGGGGGAATTTTTGGATCCCGGGGCTTGATCTCAGCTGCAGGATTGAAATCCAACCTCAATTCAACCTCTGCTTTCAGTCAGAGGCCCCGATGGTTCCCCGAGTCAGCTGCTGCCTTAGTTGCCAAGTTAGTCAGGTGTGTTCTCTTTGCCTCTCCCAGCTACCTGAATTTTAGGCTGTCATTGCTACTCTAGAATGAGCTGAGTCCACCATTTCAATCTCTTTCCACGATTCAGCTGGCACTGCCTGCCTGTAACGTAGTAGGAGTGAGGCTGACCAGAGCCTGAAGATAAGAAGATCATTAGAGCTCTCGTTGCTTCCCAGCCTTATCAGATGTTTTACTGTATCTAGTCCTTGCTGACAACCACCCACCTACATCTGAAGGGCCCTGCTTGAGATGTCTCTGCCTGTGGGCCATCACCCTGGTTAAAGAACCATGTTATCATGTAGGAGTCTGGATGCCACTTTTCCATTCTCATGCAACTCCCTTTACAAAGACTTCACACCATGGCAGCTCTTGATCACCAATATCTCTGCTCCTCAACCACTCAGCTTCTCCCAGCCAGGAGACAGACAGAAGAGAAACAGACGCTGACCTGCACGACATATCCTGAGATACACTTGAAATTTGGAGGTTGCGGGAAGCCATCTATGAGCACTTGCCCGGACAGGCCAGCAGGGTCCTTTCTAGCAGCCAGCACATCTAGGAGACTAAAGACAAGCAACAGTCCTTAGATTCCGCCATACCTACTTTTATTTTCATTGGGTAACTGCTACGATTAGGGATAATTACTAAGGCTTTGCATTTCTGTTGAGTCTGCACTGTAATTTGCTCAGACTATGCTGCAAACTGACTGATCTCAACTACAAGCAGTGCAAAAGGCACTAGGTTCATGCCTTACCTGGCACTGGGATTTTAGGTGCAAACTCTTACTGTAGGTGCAATTCACAGGTGCACATCATGTTGCACTTGTGCAAATAGTGCCTACAGCTAGGGGTTTGTCCTGGCACAGCCACACCACTGCTAGAGCTGGGTGGTAGTTTGCAGCCAAAACGTTTTTCTGGTGAAAAATGCAAAGATTTGATGACACCAAAATTTTTCAGGAATTCCTGTTGATTTCACCGCACTGTGTGTAAAAAAACCCCAAATCACAAAAATACTCTGAAAGTCTAACCATTTCATTTCAACATTTTCAGAGTGAAACGGTTAAATTTTTTTATTCAAAATAACTTGTCCTTTTGAACTTTTCCTCTATTATTTTTTTAAAAATTGAAAACAATAAAAAACACTCGAAACGAAAAAAAAAAAGTAGATGTGGGTCAAACATGATGTTCTGTTAGCCCTGAAACCAATATTTTTTGACTTTCTGATTCACCAAAAATGTCAAACATCGTTTTCTGTTCAGCCAAAAACATTTTTTTCGATTTTTTGGAATGGCAAGTCAACTGTTATTCATCCCACTCTAAACAGTGGCTCTAATCCCAGTGGAGACAAGGAATGAGTCTTCCTGCTAACAGGCAAACTCAAGCCAATTTTTTATAACACAGAAGTGTGCTGTCTAAGGGTCCAATCCATTCTAAATCAGGAGCAACTCTATCTATCTATCTATACACACATACACACACACATACATAAAAAGGTGAATAAAACACTATTACCAAAGTGAGCTCTTAGGTTTGGTCTACACTTAGAATTTATATTGGTATGGGTATGTCAGTGAATAGCAACAAAACCACCAGAGTAGATACACATGTATACAGAAAAGTACTTCTGTCAATGTAGCTAACCATGTTCCTACATCGGAGGAAAACTCGTTCTGTTGGTGTTTGCTGTATCCAGGGCTGGCTCCAGGGTTTTTGCCGCCCCAAGCAGCCACTCCCCACCACCCCCGGAAAACAAAAAACAAACAAACAAAAAAGCTGCGATCGCGATCTGCGGCACTTCAGCAGGAGGTCCTTTGCTCCCAGCAGGAGTGAGGGACCCACTGCCGAATTGCCGCCGAAGATCCGGACGTGCTGCCCCTCTCTGGTGTGGCCGCCCAAGTACTTGCTTGGTAAGCTGGTGCCTGGAACCGGCCCTGGCTGTATCTATGCTGACATGCCCATGCCAACATAAGCTCTGTAATGTAGACACAGCATTAAGCAGATAGGGTTTTGTCCTATCCTGGGGGGATAAAAATGGATACTTTTTTTGAAAAAATTTAGATATCAAATAATGTTATTTATATCTGATTTTTTTTGGTTTTATTTAAATTGTAATAAGTATTTTTAAATATAAACCTGTTTCAATGAAATCTGAATTTAATGCAAAATATGTTAAGGCCTAAATGGTTTATAATCTCATAAAGCATTTAAATAATACATACATATGCTGTTTTGTGTGTTTAATTAAATTCCAGTTGCAGCTTGACACAAATCATGAGCAAAATGTTAATTATCTAATAAATAAGCAAGATATCATTCACTTTTTCTAACATACTAAAATGTACAATTAATAAGAATCTGAAAATATTCTGCTATATCATTGCTTAAATAAATGTATATAGTTGTAGTGTACCCTTGTAGGCAGCGAAAAGATGCACCAAATCTAGCATAAAAGCTCTCTTTAGTTGTAAATCAACATATTTTAATAGCTATGTCAACGAATGAGAAGGCACCTTTCTTTAGAAAATAACTGACATACAAATGGAAAGGTTAATGAAAATTGCTGATTTAAATCAAGGTTTGCCACGTGGTGATTTAAATCATTATTTCAATCACTGATTTAACTCACTCCACCCTGCTGGGAGGAGTTCAACGATGGCCTGTAAGAGACCATCTCACCCCCACTCTGATCTTCCTGGGTGATGATCCTGCTCTAGGCCTTGCATTGCAATGATCTTCCATGAGCTACTTTGCCCATCACTATCACTGTTAAACTGGCCACTGGGGTGGTGAGAGCGTGGCAATGCAAGACACTCTCCTCTTTTCCTCCCACACAAGAGCAAGTCAACAGATCCAACTTTAAAATGGAAGTAGCCTACTTTATACTTCTCTAGCATCTTTCACCCAGGGATCTCCAATCACTTTACAAACATTGCTGCAGCCCCTCTGCACCCCTGTGAGACTGGAAAGTATTATCATTCCCTATGCTATAGATGGGGAGAACAAGGGAAATCATTTGCTCAAGGTTATGGAGCAAATCAGTGACAGAACCATGAACAGAACCCTGGGGTCTGACTCTGCTCCCTCCCAGAGCTGGGCATGGAACCCCAGAGTCCTGCCTCTTCGTTAAGGACTAGACCATGGGTTCTCAACCTGCAGGTCGTATCCTGACAGAAGACAGAGTCACAACCACCCTGATAAACAGGAGAGAGTAGATGGGAGGGGGGTCCAGAGCGGTTGCAATATGAAAATGGTTGAGAACCCCTGCATGAAACTACACTCTTGGTTGAAGCCCATGCAATGTGTATACACCGGCCATGAATAAATTTGGGATGGAAATTAGCAGATTTCTAACTATCGGAGGGGCGAGATTCTGGAACAGCCTTTGAACTGGAGTAGCAGGGGCAAACAACCTAACTAGTTTTAAGACAGAGCTTGATAAATTTATGGCTGGGATGATATGATGTGGCTGCCTGTGACAACAGGGGACTTGACCCAGCAGGTCCCTTCCAGACCTATGTTCCTAAATCACGAAGGTGCCTTTCCAAGGCCTTAGATTTTTCCAGCTAGTCTCTTCCAGCCTCCAGGGAGTTCAGTTTCCACCTAGGACTGTTCATTCTCCATTGGAGGAAACCAAAGAAAGACTCACGAGGATTTGCCGCTCCCTGTTGGTCCCAGGATAGCATTCAAACCCGGCTTCATAATGCCACTGGAAGAGAAGGGAAACGGTTACTTCTGAATGGCGATCTGCCTCTGTGGAGCTCCTGGCAGAACCGGGGCCTGACTTTGGATCCAAACACATTCCATGGGGTGGGAAGTTTTAGAAAAATTATAAATAAAAAAGTTAAACATCCTCCCTCACGCCAATTTGAAAGCAGTAACCATGTTCCCTTCCTTGTCCCTAGTCCCCCGTGTCTTAAAGGAGGCTTCTGCTGGAGATGATGCCTCTCCCCTCTAGCAGATTTCACTCCTCTCCTTTCTCCAAAAGAGATTTTGGGATGCATGAACTTACCACACATTGTGGAGAACCTTCTTCTCCACCGTTGTCCGTTTGCAGAGGGGCCCGTGGGACTGTTTGATGGTGTACTGGATGTTGTGGAAGCTCATGACAGAGCCCCGAGGGCACTGAAGGGATTCTCGTGTTGGGATAGAACGCAGGAAATTGCCTGCTTCTTCTTCCTCCCTGATGGATAGGATGCTGTGGTTGGCTGTGCCTGACCTCATGTCTTTGTTGGAGAGGCTGACCTCCACTGGAGGGAGGTCACCAGGGTGCTCTACAGCTCCCATCTGTTCAAATTGACTGGGTGGGAAACATTAGAGAAAGGGCAGAAAATAAAAGTTTTTTGTAAGAAGAAAAACTATTTTGAATCTTAAAAAAAAAAAATCCCACCCCAGCTCTGAAGCTCAGATCCAGGCTTCACTATCATCCAGAACAACACACATGGCAAGTTTGAAAAACTGGACCTGTATGTGTTTAGATTAGCAAGAGAAGTGTCTGAGTGAGGTGGAAAGCCACATCCACAGGGAGGATTTGGGATGAGTGTGACGGCTGCCGTCTTGGCCTACAACAGGGGACTGAACCAGCTAAAAACACGCATTGCTACAGCTAGAAAGCATGGAGGTGACGTAGCACACACTCACCAGTGGGTTACAAATTAAACCACCTTATACTTGTGAAACGTTGCATAGGGCAGATCAGTCACTCAGGGCTCATCTACACACACAAGAGATACCAATATAATTATACTGGTACAGTTAAAGCAGTAACTCTCCCCTCCCCCATGTGTGTGCAAGTATATCACTAAACAGGTGCTTTATAGCAATACAGCTCTTCCTGTAAAGGAAGGAGAATAAGTTATATAACAAATAAACCCTTCAGTTCAGCTTTATCAGCTAAGTGAGGAGCAGGGAGATTTTTTCAAGAGGTGTCAAGGTTCCTTCCCCACTCTGAACTCTAGGGTACAGATGTGGGGACACGCATGAAAGCCCCCTAAGCTTATTTACCAGCTTAGGTTATCAGTAAGCTGCCACCACCAAATCGTTTATGAGTCATTTGGAAACTCTGTCTTCCCCCCAAAATATCTCCCTCCCAAATACTATAACCCTTCCCTGGGCAGCCTTGAGAGACTTCTCCACCAATTTCCTGGTGAACACCGATCCAAACCCTTGGATCTTAAAACAAGGAGAAATTAACCATTCCCCCTCCTTTCCCCCACCAATTCCTGGTGAGTCCAGATCCAACCCCCTTGGATCTTAAAACAAGGAAAATCAATCAGGTTCTTAAAAAGAAGGCTTTTAATTAAAGAAAGAAAGGTAAACATCATCTCTGTAAAATCAGGATGGAAAATAACTTTACAGGGTAATCAGATTCAAAGAGTCCAGAGGAACCCCCTCTAGCCTTAGGTTCAAAGTATAGCAAACAGAGGTAAACCCTCTAGCAAAAGGAACATTTACAAGTTGAGAAAACAAAGATAAAACTAACACAGCTTGCCTGGCTGATACTTACAAGTTTGAAATATGAGAGACTTGTTCAGAGAGATTTGGAGAGCATGGATTGATGTCCGGTCCCTCTTAGTCCCAAGAGCAAACAACCCCCAAAACAAAGAGCACAAACAAATGCCTTCCCCCCTCAAGATTTGAAAGTGTCTTGTCCCCTTATTGGTCCTTTGGGTCAGGTGTCAGCCAGGTTACCTGAGCTTCTTATCCCTTTTGTCAAGGCTGCTTCCCCACTCTGAACTTTAGGGTACAAATATGGGGGCATGCATGAAAACTTCTAGATCTGGTCCGCTGCCACCATTCCCAAGTGGATTCCCTTCCCTGGGAAGCCTTGAGAAACTCTCACCAATTCCCTGGTGAATACAGATCCAAACCCCTTGGATCTTAAAACAAGGAGAAATTAACCACCCCCCTCCTTCCTCCCACCAACTCCTGGTGGATCAAGATCCAATTCCCTTGGATCTAAAAACAAGGAAAAATCAATCAGGTTCTTAAAAAGAAGGCTTTTAATTAAAGAAAAAAGGTAAAAATCATCTCTGTAAAATCAGTATGGAAAATAAC